TCGCATATCCTTTAGGTTTTACTAGCTCGGGTTTCTCGGCGAGCACCTCTTCAGGTTCTCTCAATGCCGCTATGAACTCGGGTGTGTCTTCTTCGTGTAACGGGGCCATCTCATGTTCTTTGGGTTTTACTAGCTCGGGTTTCTCGGTAAGCACCTCTTCAGGTTCTCTCAATGCCGCTTCGAACTCGGGTATGTCTTCTTCGTGTAACGGGGCTATTCTATGATTTGCATTCTTTTTTTCTATTATTATTCCTATTTTTTCTTTATTTTGGTTATCTAATTGTTTGATTTTTTGTGTTGGGATACCAGATTCATCTGTGTTTGTTTTTGTCTGTTCTTCTGTTGTTCCTTTATCTTTCTTCTTATTATTTAATGCAAGGTTTTCTTTATTTTCCTCGATTGGACTTTGCATTAATTTGCTATTTGATACATCGTCTAATCTATTTATCTTTACCGGCTTTAGGTTTGATTCATTGGTGTCATTTTTCGCGTTAGGTTCTGTCAAGCCTCTTTCTGATTTCTCTGTATTCTCACCGTTGTAGTCATATCGCCGTTTTTTGATTATTTGAAATTCCAAACCGTCTTTCAGATGTTTTATACCCGAACGGGATATTTGGACGGGCTTCAGTACCGTTTTTATGGAATCCTCCTCATCGCTCGGGATAGTTTCAAAATTACTTCCCACGTTTGTCTCTTCTTCTTTGTGAACCTTCCGATAGGCCTTTTCGCCGCTCAGAAACTCCTCCAGCGGTATGTCCTCACTCGAGTTGAGGGTGGAGATGGAGGTGCTCACCAAGCCCTCCCACCCGCTGCTTTCCCCCAGGGATTGGCGGCTCTGCCCCCTTGCTGATCCCCCGCCGGGCTTCCCCACCGCTTCCAGCGAGATCTCCGTGTGGCCAATGGAGTTCTGGCTCGAAAGCAAGCTAAAGCGGGAGCCTATCCGCCCCGGGGCCCCCTCCGCAATCGCGGACTCGACGTCCACCTCCGACGGGTCTAATCCGCAGCGGCGTGGGAGGGGGGGGCGGGGCGCCGAGGCTTCGGAAGGGCGCCGAGGGGGGCCTGGGCTCGCATCCGGCGGTGAATCCGAATCGCGCTTCCACCAATGCCGTGGGTTGGACAGGGGTGGGCTGGTATTTTTCCCTTCATTGGGATCCAGGATGTGGAATTCCACCTCTGTCGGAGATGGCTTAAGACTCAACGGTTCGCCGTGCGTTTTCACTTCTGGTGGGTGGTCGGTTCGACGCGTGTACGGCATTTTGTCAACGAGTTTGGAGTTTTCTATGCGCACGGGATCGCACTTTTCCATTAGTACATCACAAATCACATTCAAACTCGGATCAAAAGTGTCGCGAAGGTTGATTTGCGCTTGATTCTTCTTCATTAGGAGGTGGTGCTTCTGCGCTTCATCCAGCGCTAGCGGGTTATTCTGAATTGCATCAATATCTAGACTAGATGTTTGACTATTTTCGCTAACGCAAACATTGGTGGCTTGAGTTTCGCGTAGACACGGATTCACATGGGGCTCGGATCGTATTTGAGCGGATATAGACAAATCGGCATTCTCTTCCATCATGTGCGAAGTAACCACCCTATACTGTCTTTTCTAACCTCAGCTTCCTATCTAAATATTCAGTTTTATTCCGTCTATATTATTCACCTACTCAATAAACAACTTATGATGTAGGTGTGGTCTCTCTCAGCGCCTGAGCGTCTCCAATCTTCTGTTTTCTTCCCAAAAGTAGCAGTTATTTAAAGCAGTGTTAAAATAAATTTATCTGTCCTTCTCCTCACTGTACTGGAGTAAAATCAGTATTTCTACCTTCACACAAAAAAAATATCAATAATAAATCATATAAATAGTGTAACCGCGTGCTTACACTTTTTCTTTCTTTTCTTGTCAAAACAATAACCGCACAACAAATTATCGTCACACTCGACGCAAATATCTTAACAATGAAACAAGATGTAATAAAAAATACTAATTAGAGTCCTCCTTCGTTCACCTTACACGTTAAAAAGGGCAAGAATCGTTAGATACGAGTACTAATACCCAGAAAAAATAAAAAAGTAGTAAGCAAAAATGTATACACTTTAAAATGCCAAAACAACTACAACGAAGCTATTTGATAAGGTAAACTTTGCAACTGGAGGAGTGTTTAGTCGCTAATTTGTGTTTCTTTTTTGTTTTCCCAGTTAAAATTAATTGCTGAGATTTTTTTTTGTGAGATTAGCGAAAAAACAAGTAATATAAAATTACGATCTCCTTGTTGAGAACTCACTCTAACTGCAATATTTGTAATAGATTTATTTCTATGAACAGATTTGAATACTTAGTGCTATTATATTTTTCTTATCTAGACAAGTAATAAATACAATAAATTTGCTTCGATAGTTGATATGAGCAAAAAAATAATGATACAGTAAGTGTAAATCCAAAACAAGAAAACTACTATAGAATATTTATAGTTTCGTTATTGTATTTCTCCCTCCAAGAAGAAAAAAGTTCAAGTCCGCACAAATTATTTACTCTTTAAATACTAAAGGAATATGAATCTGCTGACCGAGTTTAATATATTTTTTTAATTTAGGAAAAGTTATATAGCCAACACAGAAAGCTAGAACACCTACAGGGATTTTATTACTTAATAGGGTTATTAATGGGAAGGAGGTATAGATTTTACTGTGCTTTCGCAGACTTTGAATGATCTACGAACCTATATATATCTATATCTATATATAGATATAGATATAGATATGTGTAAAAATGGTGAATAAGTGTTTGTGTGATGTAGAAGTAAAAAAATAATGAAGCAGGTAAACTAATGATCTGTTAAACACCAGATACCGTTACAGCAAACTTATTGCTCTCTCCGGGACTGCTATAGGATGATTTAAGTTTTAGGAATCGCTTCTCAAAACTGATTTCCACTCCCTACTTTTAGCGTCTAATAAGTCCTAATGTTTTCTATATGGAGTAACGGAATGGTTTTAAAGAAGTAAGTTTTTAAACACACAAAAAAGGATACTTAGTTAGCGTTTTTCTCTTGTTTATATTTTATCAACGTAAAGCAAAAGTCGAGAAAAGTTATAAAATAGTGAAGTGATATTAAATATGGATAACTTGTACTAATACGCACAACAAAAAAAAATAGCAACCACAACCAGCAGTTTTTTGCGCTTCAGAAAGCAGAAAATGATCAAAAGGATAAAAGTATCACTATATAGCGAATGTTCTTTTTTCTTTCAAGTAATAAAGTAAATAAGCTTTTTATTTTTTTATTGATAGTCAACTACGCGTTTGCGTGATAGGATGTTTTTTTCCAAAAAGGTCTGTGTCGATGACTTATTGAATCAATAATAAATGCTCAAACTTTGATGAAAAGTCAGAATGACTTTCGTAGATTAGTTTACTCTGTCTGAAGATGAGTATATAAGATTCAAATAATACTTTATAGGAGTGCTAGAATGCTAGCAATCCGAAAAATTGAAAAAAATCAGATGCTTGAGCTTGATGATGTAAAAAGAAATACTTGTCAAAGATATGATTCTTCAAGTTAAGTAATACCGAGAAGGGAAAAAGAGGATGAAATTAGAAAAACAAGTGTAATGCATTGAGAATGATACAGACGAAGGTCATTTTCATTACGCTTTACTAATGACACTACATTGTGAACTTTGAAAGCAAGCAACATATATATATATATAACTCGTATTCGCCTTTTTTACGTCCAATTATCCAAAAATGCTACAATTGCAAGAGAAAACGTCAAGTAACGTGTAAGCGAAAAAACGCACGCCCTATTACCTATAACTAGAATAAGTTAAATGGAAATAATATGCATACATACATATATATGATGGGCAACGTATAGTGAATCCTTTCGACGATCTAACATAACAATCGTCATCCTTCTCGATTAAAGTGCTCAGTGCGCTCGGTCTTCGACCCTCCACTTTTTTCTCTCTATCTCCTTTATTCAGTACTAAAGCACACAAAAAAAATGAACGATGTATCCCCTACGGTGGTATCTGCCGTACCATTCGTTTCAGCAAAAGTTTTGCACTCCGAGGGAACACACCACATGCGTTTCTCTGATGTTTCCACCTGCAGCTCGGCGGCAAACCATGGTGGCCCAGCCGTTCCCCCTTTAGAGGATGACGCCTGACGGCGCAGCAACCCGCCACGGACGCAGAACTCCTCTAGACCATTCGCGCTTCGGTTCGGATTCCGCAGCGCGGGGCCTGTCCCCTGATCCGGGAAGCCCCGGAAGCACTGAGGCGCCGGCGTCGCGAAGGCGGGCAAGAGGAAAAACGGGTAGGCGACCTCGGTGCTCGTGACCGTCCGCAGCAGCGGTAGCGGGCTGCCGATCACCTCGGTCCCCCATCCCCACCCTGTCTGCTCTTTCTGGACAACTTCCACCGCGTCGGGCTTCAAAAAAGGCTGGGCGACGGCGAGGACGGGGTGGCGGTCGTCCGTCTGGCTGTAGTAGCCCGCCGTGGCGTAGTCCATGAGCTGCGTGTTCCAGCCCTGCACGCGGGAGGCCACGGAAGCGCGCCCCATCGCGCGCGCTGTCACAGTGCCGGGGCTGGGGGAGAGGGGGGGGGAGTCGCCCTCGGGGAGGCCGTGGAGCTGCACGAAGAGGCGGTGCAACACGACGAGTTGGGCCCCGACCCCCGGGGGCAGGGCGCGGGGGGGGAGGCGAGGGCGAGGGCGAGGGCGAGGGCGAGGGGGGGCCATCGCTGTTACAGCTGAAGCCGAGGCCGGGCGTCTCGCCGGGGAACTCCCCGGGAAGCCCAATGGGCAGGGCGTCAATGGTGAAGCACTCCATGACCGGCCACGGGCTGCTTTTAGCGTGTAACAGGGGGTGGGGGG